AAACTGGAACATAGCACATACCAGACTGGATCAGTACAACTGTCCATCTAGTCCAACATCTTGCATTTGACACTAATTCATAGCAGATGTTTTATAGGAGGGTGTAAAACCACCATGAAGTACCTATAAGGAAGGTGGTTTTTTTTCATAAGAGTAGTAGTTAATGACAAACTTACACCCTCAGGCATAAAGGTTGCTATCCTTTATCAACTTTTGTCCCAACTAATGTAATTGCAGATGACTGTATTCATGAAAATATCTATTTTTTTTCTTACTAAGCTCTCCACCTCACTAAATGTTGTTTTTTGCAGAATTCTGCAGGTTAATTATGTGTTGTACAACTGTGTTTCCTTTTAACAGCTTTTAATTGGCTCTCTCCTAATTTCATTGCAACCTCCCATCATTTTGATTTTGAGAGAGTAGCAGGAGCACCTGATTTACATTTGCTATAACAGTCATTATTTTATAAGTTTCTGTCAAGTCCCCTCTTATTCATCTCCTTTCTGAACAGTTCTTTCTTATCTTTTAAATCTTCTTGCATTTGAAAGTCTTTCTGTGCCTCTAATCATTTTCCTTGCCCTGCTCAAGACCTTTTCGATTTCTACACTATGCCCTCTGGAGATGGAGAGATAAAACTAAACATTATATTCACGGTGAGAGTATCCTGTTGATTTCTATAGCAATATACTATTTCCAGTATTAATCTCTATCCTTTTCTTAAGGCACAAAAACACCTTATTTGCTTTTTGTTTGCTCCTGTGCTTTGAAGAGGTTTTCAGTGAACTGCCCTCTGTGACACACAGGTCACTTTCTGAGTGGTTACAATTAGTTTACAACCTACCACAGTGTAGGAGTACTTCAAATGATTCCTTCCAATATGCATTTCCTTACACTTGTCAAAAATTATAATTATTTCTGACATGTTCTAGTCTAACTTTTAGGGAATATGTTTCAACAGTTTTTTTTTTACTCTTATTACATTCACATGACTTTCAAGGCTCTCATGTCAAATTAAAATATATGAGTAAAAGAATATAAACCGCATTCAAATACTGAATCTCACAGAATAGGATATAATTAAACACTTTTACGTGTAGAGAGCTCATTATCATTTTAATAGACAGGAAGCACTTTGAGGTAGTATGAGTGGATTATATGATCTCTTGTTTACCAGTGTGCTGCATTTGCTCTTTTTGTGGAAAAGGTTTTAGATTTACAACTTTTAAAAGAATGAAAAAGGAATTATTCTCTAGACCTATCATAGGCCTAGATAGGGAAAATGAGTAAAGTACATCAAGTGTTCAAAAATTTAAAAAGGTATGGTAGAATCCCATTAAACTACAATTTGTTAATCTGGCACCTTTTGTAATTTAACACAGAAATGGTGGTCTCTTCCCTGTTCTCAGCAAAGATTATCTTGGATGTCCATCTAAGGAACAAATCTGATATATTTCTGGCCCAGTGACTTTTGAATGAACTTTTGTGTTCCTTAAAAAAATGACAACCTTGAAAATTAACTTGAGGAGGGCTGTTTCACAATCAGATTAAGAATGGGTTTCATACCAAGTTGATTCTGAATTTTGTCTCCATGCTGAAATTCAGAAATTCACTTTCGGTCTCTCATAGATTCAGTGGCACTCATTCACTGTGTTCTAAGCAGCTGGAATTCATATTTCTCTTCGTCTAATGGGGCTTATGACAGTTGCTGTATAGAAGTAATGTACAATGTCTCATCACTGCATTTCATCACTTTCACATATAGATTTCTTTTTCCTACACTGTCTGGCAAAATAGTTCTTTTGGCAGACTCCAATTTTGCTTGAAGGCTGGACAGTATTTACATGCAGCTTGTTGGAGAATAACAGAGTTCTCACTTTTTATTTGGGTACAGTAAGTCAGATACTTTACTTTCTCAAGCAATTGCATAGAGGGAGAGAGCTAAACAGGTCTCTCAACAGGTAAATAATTACAGCAAGCATTTATACCTTTTGTTACAGACAATGAGCAACAGCTGCATTTTGTTTATACATAGGTCATTCTGATATCTTGTTTTGCTCACTAATGTAGACTCAGTCTACATTCCATATTATCTACACATTATCTACACAAGGTCGCAACAACTTCTCACACAGTTCTTTCCCACTCGCCTCACACATTCCTCGCTTCTACAAATCTCGCGTTATTAGGGTTACAGTTAGCCTGACTCTTGCTAATGAACTGTCATACATTGCATCCCCTTCCTGTCAGTTCTTTCTCGGCTTCCACAACCCCCCCCCTTTTGTACTACTAGTACAACAAACATTTTCAAATCTCTATTTGCATTAAGTCTTGGAATTCAGATTCTACTTCAGATGCTTCAACCTTAGGGGTTTTGATTGGATGTAATGACAATGCATGATGAGCATGGACATGAAAGGTATTACTATTATTACATCCTTTACAACAACAACATACTCCTACACTAACTAACACCAACACAAACAATAATATTCCCATAGCAATAATATGATGGGGTTGTTGTACAGTCTTAGTCATAAAACGCAATACATCATACTTAGTACATAAGGTGGACACTCTATAAGCTGTATGAAAGGCTTACTTTTCAACTTGATATATATATTGAAGCATGTGAATTTGCCCTTGTATTTCAGAGATCTTCTGAACCTCTGGTAACAGTGAAAGCAAATTTTGAAATTGATCAGGTACTAAACTAGTCCAATTAAAGGGTATCTGGAACCTAAGGGTTACTTGCAAAATTCTATCTGCAGTCCAGTAAATAATATGATTGCCTGTAGTGGTAATGAGATTAAAATGTATGTCTTGCTATGTGGTGGCTTTAACATACACACAGCTATCATTAGCTTGGAAAAAGTAAGTGTCCTGTCAGGGTAGTTCCTTGTCCCCTACCCTCCCAGTAGTCATGAAGAGTAACAACTGCTCCTGGCTTCAGTTTACGGATACACTGAAGCTGTGGGGGTTCTAACGGCCAAAATGTCCATTGACTCCCTAACCCCATCCAAATGTCAGATGTAATCCCAGGAGCACTGACTAAAAATCGATTGGGCATACCAGGAGGTCTAATTTCCCAGATGTCTCGGTGAATTACCCAATCCCACATGCATCTTCCCCATGGACCCGGCAGGATTCAGTATGTGGGAGCCCACCCCCTCCCAACCGGTCCATATGCTTGGAAGGAGCACTGAGAACGTCCGCACTTCCACCCAGTCTCCAAGTATGTCTCCATGGCCACAGATCAGATGGTACTCCTGATGTGTCTGTAAGGGCAGTGGGCCAAATCTGATGCTCTAGATCATTCCGAATGGCCATTAGCTGGTCATTCAGGAAATCCTGAATTTCTGAACATGCTAGATGCCACTGCAATGCCTTCCTAGCCTCAGTGATATTCAGTACCATCTCTGTCAGCAACTTCTGGGTCATTGAACTAAGGGTGGAAATAAAATGTAACTCACCAACTCCAGCCTGTACCTGGGTTAGTTGTGCCCCAGAAACAAGGCCAATGGCCTTCTCTAGTTGCCCCAATTTCTCATCATGTTCTTGGTTCTTAAAAATATTCCAAACTGCTGCTGCACTATTGGCCCCATCCCAAAGGGATCCGGTCAAGTCTCTCTTCTTTCTAGAAGAAATAACCCAAGCCCTCTGTTGTGCTAATCTAATGGCAGCCCTCTTTGAACAATTTGGGTATGTAGAGGTAATCTGGAAACTGGATAAGAAAGAAATGAAACTGGATAAGCAATGAAAATTTAACAGTCCCTAGTGTAGTGTTAATCACAGTCCATTGATATCCTAATACATCTCTCTTTGGTGTAGTACTATACCACATCTGTTGGTTGAACATCTTTATGTACTTCTGGGAGGCATTGATATTAATGGCATAAGAAGGGGTGTATTGCAATAAGGTACAGGTCACATTATTAGTCACTGGAATAATTCTATGCAGGTAAAATTTCCAGTGGCAAAACAAACTCTTTGGGCATTCGTTTAATTGTTCACTAATTGGGTGACCAAATAACAATACGGGCCTCTCTCATTTAACACAGTGCAAATTCCAGGAACATTTGCTATAGAACCCATCAATTGCAATTACAGATTCTTGGGGTTCACTGGTAGTGATATCATATACTTTTATCTCCACTGATCCATTCTTTTCCATTCAATTGTTCGCTTCTATGGGATATCCTGAACCTTAAAAATATTTTTTTTTCAAACAATATTTAAATAAATCACTAAAGTGTGAAGGCCTTGGCCATTGGTTTTATCAAATATATGGCGTTGTCTGTATTTGGATGTGTTACAGGGGTAATAGTGTAATGGAGGAGATGGCGGGGCAATGGCAACAAGGTGCCTTCGGTACTTATAATTTAAAATCCAATTAGGGAGGGCAATACATGCTGAAGGACTTATCCAAAACACAGGGCGCAGCCTGTAGAATAAACCTCAAAATCGAATCAATACCACGTTCCCAAGCATGGGTCCCACAAGTTTCTTTTTGCCAGTGTATAATTCTTTGTTTCTTCACCAGGGTCAGTTCTTAATGTCTTTTGTAGTCAGGAATCCCTGGACTTTGTGGTTTCAATGAAGCAAGTGTTTGTTCTTCTCTTTTCCTGAAACAGTGTGATCAGCATCATACAGGGGAGAGGTTACTAGCACATCACCCTGTAATGGTTTTGCTTCTTCTAGAAAAATCCAAAGGCACAGTAGGTCTGTCAGTGGACAAGGGAGAGGTTACTAGCACTTCACCTTGTCTTTTTTTTCTTTTTCCTGCTGTCCAGAAGGCACAGCAGAGCTAGAAGGAGAAATAGGCTTATCAGTCGAAGAGTCCTCCCGAGGTGGAGGGGTCTTTTTACAGTGAGAAGCAGGGTCCAGGCAGGTAGTCCTTGGCACTTCACAGCGGTGTTGGTGGTTAACAGGACTTGGAAAGGGCCTTTCCAGTGTGGAACCAAAGCAGTCTTTCGTTGATGGACTTTACGTAGACTCAGTCTCCTTGTTTCAATGAATGGCAGGGCTGCTAGGGTCTTTGGTTAGCACTTCTTTTATCTGTGAGAAAAGAAACCTAACACGTTTCATTAATGCCTGGCAGTGTTTTGCAGATCAAATAGTTGCTTGGGCACATTCAGGCCCCCCTTTTCTTGGTTGTCAGCCAAGTCTTAGCTATGAACAATGTCCGTGGATGGGGCCAGCATCTTATCTTTTGACTGAGCTTGCTTGTTTCATAGGCAGCCCAGGTTTCAGTGGCTTCTACCTTATTAGTTAGAAAATTGCATTAATACGGATGCTTTCTGGCTTGCTTCCAGATCCAAAGCTATCCACAGCTTAAAGATTCTTACTTAAAAAAGGTTTCAGAGTAGCAGCCGTGTTAGTCTGTATCCGCAAAAAGAAGAACAGGAGTACTTGTGGCACCTTAGAGACTAACAAATTTATTAGAGCATAAGCTTTCGTGGACTACAGCCCACTTCTTCGGATGCATATAGAATGTCCATTAAATTTGTTAGTCTCTAAGGTGCCACAAGTACTCCTGTTCTTTTTACTTAAAAAAGGGACACAATTAACTTTCCCAGACTTTTGATTGCCTTTTACTTTTAACTTCTGCTTTCAAACACACAGTGATCTGAAAAAGACAACACAACCTATATTGGTAGGTTTGCATTTCTTTTACCTCTACTACAATATACACTGCACATGTTCTGGGGAAAATGCACATCCTCTCCACAATTCAATTTCCACAACACTAGCCACATCAATTTCTACAAAGGTGTAACTGTTTCTTTTGTGCTTACAAAATCTCCATGCACCCCTAGTAAAGTGACAGCTCGACCACACAGAGCCAGGGGCACTGTCCTTCTCTCTCTTTACCAGATCTTTTATCTGCTATTTTGTTACCCAAAACCAAATTCAAATCTTTTATTCTCCTGGCTTTGACTATCCTGCTGCAGCCACAACCTTTGGTCTTTAGTTAAAACATTTTAAATCTTGTAAAGCATTAAGTCACCTTAAGGATTAAATGCTAAATACCATATTAAACAACACTAGTTTCCTGTGTCTGGCAAAAGTATTCTCAGTTTTTGCAACTTTAAACAATACCAATTCATCTCAAACTTATAAAACACAGATCCCACAAAAACCAATAATCTATTTGTCCCGGTGCCTGGTTTTCCAGTACCAGGCGCAAGGGAGTTAAGTAAGTCGGAATGTCAAAAGATCCGGATTCGGGCCAATCAGTGCCCAGGGCTGGCCAATCCTGGGTGCAAAGCTGCAACAAGCGTCTCTTCAACATTCTTTTCTGAACACCGGGTAAAGCCCATTTACTTAACATATAATCCAAAGGGCTATCCTTAGAGGGTTTTACCAGAGACCCACCCATCTGCCTGCTGACACTCTAACAGAGAATTACACAGAGAACAGAGGGAATTATGGCCTAATAGGATCCTATTACAGGAATTTCTACGGGACAGAAGGATCCCAATTCAACCTCAGAGCTTCATCGCACGCAATGGCTTCCACTCTGAGGAATTATGAATGAAAGGCTCAGTTCCGTCCACACACCTAACGCCCAAATACATAAGACAGAAATTCATTAACCGGTTAACCAGAACAGAACCAGACCAGAACCAGATAGTGTCTCCTTATCCTATTAGGACTCACCTTATTGGAACACGAACCCCAGAGGCTGTGGTGAAGCAGAGAAAAGGGGCGAAACACCCCGTTGGCGCAGTTCCCAGTTCGCCGCAGCCATCCGGAGTCCAATGTCCAAGCTTGGAGAATCCCGGTGGAGTCGCCAGAAACTGTCACCAAAATATCGGGTCCACCTAGCTGAGAGCCAATTACAGCCAGACAGGGATAAGGAAGAGTTGCTTTATTCTGCAGAAGAAAGGAGAGCCTTGCACCTTGGTACAAAGACTCTGTCTTACATTTTACCATTCCAATTATTATCCTGGGGATTTGAAATCCCCATGCTTATAATTACTTACTCCTTTCCTTCCACTATGCCCTCAAAGTTTCCAACCTGTTTTCCAATCTCTATCTGTTGCCTGCCCGCTTGGGCCGGATCCTGCTTTTCTCGCTGAACCGTCCCTTCCATGGGCACCAGCTTTTTCACTACCAATTTAGCTAGGAGGGTAGGCTTCTCAACTAGCCCCCACCCTTCCTGGTCTCTTCCCTTAAACATTCTTACTCACAAGGCTACCCGAGTCCTCCCTTGTGAGGCTTGCCACTTGGGCAAAACGCCTGGCCCATTGGCGTTTAACTATTCAATTTTCTTTTGGGGCAAACACTCTGCTCTTACAGCATATGCTGAGCACAAATAATTAAATTTTGACAAGTCCCTGAAGGACCGGTACTTGCTTAGCCAGTGCTTCCTTTTCTTGCCTGGAAGTCCTGTCTCAAGGCTTGCAACTTGCCCTGGGCGTAGGTTTGAGTTGCTGCCTGGTTCATGATCTATGCTCTTAATTGCTCAATTCTAGTGATCAAGTACACAACTCTTCCCTTTTCTCCAACTTCTCTATTGCCCAGTCTTGCTACGACTGGGGTAGATTCACCTGACACCCTTCCCGGTCAACCGGGGTGGAGAGAGGAATGCTAACCCCCTCTCCAGTTCTCAGACTTACTGCGGCTGAGAGTAGGCACACTTTCATCCTCACACACGTACGTCCAGACTGGCCACGTCTGTGTATAACATTCAGAGAAGGTGCTGTGCAATCTCCAACTTGCTTCCTCTCTTGAGAGGGCAGTTCTTTTACGCCCTGGGGTCTCCTGGGGCGTCTTTTCAGTGATTCCAGTCCAGGCCGGCTGCCTGTGGCTTCTTCAGTGTCCCCAAACCACGCTGGCTCCAGGGTCGCAAAGGCAGACTGTTGGATCTCACTGGACAGTTAAGCTTTGCAAATGTAATCTCAGCACTGTAACTTGTATTGCCTTTGGTTTGACTATGTCTATATTTTTTCACAGCCAGCTGGGGCCGAAAGCAGTTTTTCTTTGAACTTAGCCTGGTCTGCGTTGATTCTTGACCTTGAACACAGAGCAACTTTCTCTTTATCTCTGGACCAAGCTGAATTTCAAATTAATCCGTTCCTTTCCTCAATAGACAAATTGCTCCCATTGTGTGTCAGAGGCTTTTTGGTGATTAAAAGCTCCTCTGAGATGTATGATCTTATCTAGATTGAAGGTACCTTCTAATGGGCATTTTTTAGATGAATTTTCATGTGTGTAATGATTCCAATTCTCTAAATACCTGCAGGTTTTAGGACCATAATGTACGTACATGAAATCAGATGGGGTACCCTTAGGAGGTGAGAGGGAATGCTTAGACTGTCCCCCACCCATTTTCCAATCACACACACAAGGAGGATGCCCTGTCCACTCTAGCAGCACATAAACTAAGGATCTCTCCCTACAGGGTACTCACACAGGAGAGGCTAACGAGGATGGCCACGACCCTCCTACACCTCCCTTCAGCAAAGAGCGTCAGCTAGTCTCAGACAGACGGCGCCGCTTACTCTCGTTGCATCCAGTGAGATGATCAGACTGTCAGTGGCTCACACAGAGAGGAAAAGGGGAGGGAAGATGGGTTCACACACTCCTAGACCCAGGTAGCTTCCTCGCCGGATGATGCCAGGCAGAGTTAGGTCGGATCTCCTAAAAGATCCTCTAGTTACCGGGCTTGCATTAGAGTAGTTCTGGTCACGAGCCAAAAGACTTCGCAGAGTACTCTGGGCATCTTCCGGTAACTCTCAATTCACACTGGTGTGTACACACACACACGCCCCCCCCAAGGTCTCTATCTCCAAATACCACGATACATCTGTACCTTATGTCCGGACTCAATGCACTATGAGGCGGTAACAACCCCTCTTGAGGCGGTAAAAACCTCTCAGCACCGGTGCATACCTATGCATCTCTCTTATGCATATGGGGGTGGCCAAACTAAGAGTTCCCCAGAACCGCATACAACTACCTTATTGGAGGCGGCAAAACAATTCCCCAGAACCGCTCTGCATCTGATCTTGCTGCACAGTCAATAAGTTCGGATGGCGTGAGCCCAACAGGGACAGACAGCCCCACGGACAGTCCTCCTCCGACACCCCAGTAGAGATTTCAAAAGGTCTCCTACCTCTATTATGGCACCATGGGGTTCGAAGGGGAACGATCCGTAGCAGCTGCCGGTGCCTCTGCGGACGTTGCCATCCCGGACAAGCCCCCAAATTGTCGGAGAATAACAGAGTTCTCACTTTTTGTTTGGGTACAGTAAGTCAGATACTTTATTTTCTCAAGCAATTGCGTAGAGGGAGAGAGCTAAACAGGTCTCTCAACAGGTAAATAATTACAGCAAGCATTTATACCTTTTGTTACAGACAATGAGCAACAGCTGCATTTTGTTTATACATAGGTCATTCTGATATCTTGTTTTGCTCACTAATGTAGACTCTTAGTCTACATTCCATATTAATTATCTACACAAGGTCGCAACAACTTCTCACACAGTTCTTTCCCACTCGCCTCACACATTCCTCACTTCTACAAATCTCGCGTTATTAGGGTTACAGTTAGCCTGACTCTTGCTAATGAACTGTCATACATTGCATCCCCTTCCTGTCAGTTCTTTCTCTGCTTCCACAATATCTATCTCCACACGTCTCACACTGTCTGGTTGCTGCAAGGTTTGGGACCCTTCCTTGCACTGTCTGTACTTTACTGTGGCTTTATGGTATTCTTTAGTAAGGGAACGGATAGATTAAATGACAGCTCAATGTCATCAGGCAGTCTATGACTTTAAAACCCAGATCTTCTGTCTTTTACAATGACGACACCCTGGTGACTCCTCAGGCAAATCACCTCATTGGAAGGCACTATGATCTAGTGGGATATATCTATTGCCTCTTCCATTTCTGTGTGATTCCAGATCTCTGTTCTGACATTGACCTATTGTGACCTTGGGTTTTAGTACCACTGTGATCAACTCTAGTCTTCCATCTCATATGACACAGGCCATAGAACTTCCCCAAAATCATTCCTGAAGCCTATCTTTTAGAAAAACATCCAGTCTT